CATTCATGGCTGGATGTGGCAGGACTACAGAGCTTAGATCTGATCCATTGGTCGTAGGATGTCTTAGTTCTGTCTATAATTGCTGCTTATACTGTTCAGCATGCAAGTAGTCCTGTTTGTAACTTCACCAGGTTAACATCTCATTTTTTGGAATGAGGATTTTTTTTCTGAAGGGTCCAGACCCGAAACGTCAGTTTTCCTGCTCCTCTGGTGCTGCTTGGCCTGCTGTGTTCATCCAGCTCTACACCTTGTTATCTCATTTTTTGGAATGTCTGGTTCTGTTCCTGGCATGCCTTCCTGCATACTCCGTGGAATCATGGTTTATCCTCTTGCTTGATGATAATGGTTAAGGAGCGAATATACTGGGCCATGAGATTGCACATTGTGTTGGAGTACAGTTTTGCTGCTGTTGATGGCCCACAGTGCCTCACGGATGCCCAGTCTTGAGTTGCTAGATCTGTTCGAATTCTGTCCCATTTAGCACAGTGATAGCATCAGACAACAATGTGAAGGCAAGACTTCATCTCCAGAAAGACTGCACATTGGTCACTCTTACCAGTACTGTCATGGACAGGTGCATCTGCATCCAGCAGATTAGTGAGGATGAGGTCAAGTACATATTTCCCTTTTTTTGGTTCCCTCAACACCTGCTACAGTCCCAATCTAGCAGCTACGTCCTTCAGGACTTGACCAGCTCAATCGGTAGTACTACTGCCGAGCCACTCTTGATAGTGGACAATGAAATCACCCACCCAGAGTACATTTTGTGCCCTCGCCATCCTCAAGTGCTTCTTCCAAGTTTTGTTCGACATGGAGCAATACTGATTCATCAGCTGAGGGAGAACAGCACATGATAATCAGCAGGAGGTTTCTTTGCCCATATTTAACTGAAGTTATGAAACCTCAAGGGGTCCAGACCTAATATTGAGGACTCCCAGGGCAACTCTGTCCATCTATATAGCACTGTGCTGCCACCAATAGTGGATTTGTCCAGCCACTGGACAGGACATTTCCAGGAATAGTGATAGTGATGTCTTGTACATTGTGTGTAAGGTATGATTCCACGAGGAAAACTATGCCAGGATATTGCTTGACAAATCTGTGAGACAGCTTTCCCAATTTTGACACTCACCCCCAGATGTTAGCAAAGATTTGTTCTAGGACATCTCAGTTCCTCAGGGTAGTGTCCAATGCTCAACTTTGTCATCCTGATTAAGTTTGCATCTGTTTTGCCTGAATGATTCTGTGGCTGGCTTAAAGAAGGAGGCTAGCATTTATTTGATGATCCTCCCATTAAATCCAGTTGACGAGGAGAAGCTATTGCTCGTGGAATTTCTTTAAAGATCTTATGTATCCCTGATGCACAGCTCAGGTCTCCCTACAGTACAGCAGTGTGATGTCAACAACTATTCTTTACACTCAGGTCCAGTCTTTCCATGGCTGAAACTGTGTTGTGGCAAAAATGATGGAGGTGGCCGGATATTGCAAATTCTGCACCCAAACACAACATTTCAATAATTCATGCAAGTTGAATTGGGCTCAGGCTGGGTTTTGCACTTTACAGTCATAGCTGGCTGTGTAAATGACCAGGTGCTTCCACCGAAATGGGAGTTTAGAATTGCTATATCATGGAACACAGGGTTTACATGTAAGACAGAACTTTGTGAATTAGTTGGATAAACAGGCTATTGATTTGGAGAGGCAAGGTATCCCTCCTGTGATGGTCCTGAGATATTTTTGGAGAGGTGGAGATAGGTCTTGTACTCTTTGAGGGAAATGGGTCAGGAATCCTGAGAGGGAGCATCAGGAACCCTTTGAAATGTTGACATTCAGGAAGAATGTACCTAAAACAGTGCATAAACCCCTTGGAAGCTGTCACAAGCTAGTATTTTTTTTTAATGGAGTACTTTTCCCAGTGGAGATCAATCTGCAAAATAGAACCATAAGTGAAAGAAGGTTATTTGTTCTCTTGTCTGTGAGAGTGGTATCAGAACATAAGAACCAGGAACAGAAGGAGGCAATTAAGCCCCTTGAGCCTGCTTCACCATTTAATACAATCGTGGCTGATCTCAACTTTTCCACAACTCCACTTTCCTGCCCACTCTCCATAACCTTTAAACTCATTACAAAACAAAAATCTATCTCCTCCTTAAATTTATTCAATGTTCACTGCACTCTGGGATAATAAATTCCTCAGATTTACAACTCTTTCAGAAAAGTAATTCCTCCTCATATTTGTTAAATATTAGCTACCCCTTATCCTAAAACTTAGACTTCTTGTTCAAGATTGTACTATCTTCTCTATGTCAATCTCATTTAGCATCTTACATACCTCAATTAGATCTCATCTCATTTTTCTAAACTCTTGGGGTGGCATAGTGGGTCAGTGGTTAGCACTGTTGCCTCACAGTATCAGGGGCCTGGGTTCAATTCCACCCTCAGGCAACTGTCTGTGTAGAGTTCACATGTGCTCCCTGCATCTTGTGGGTTTCCTCCAGGCACTCTGTTATCCTGCCACAGTCCAAAGATGTGCATGTTAGGGTAGACTGTCCGTGCTAAACCACCCATAGTGTCCTAGGATGTGCAGACTAGATGGTTTAGCCATGGGAAATGCAGGATTATGAGAATGGTGGGGGGGTGTCTCAGTGGGCTGCCCTTTGGAGGGTTGGTGTGAACTCAAGTGACCTGCTTCCACACTTTTGCGATTCTAAAGTGTAAACTGCTCAAACATTTTTCATAAGCAAAATCACTCATCAGCATAGTTTTGTTTCAGGGAGATCATGCTGTTTAAATTTGATCAAATGCTTGAACGAGGTGACCGGGTGTATGGATGGGAGTAGTGCATTTGTTGTAGTTTGCATGGATTTTAGCAAAGCCTTTGACAAAGTCCCACAAGGGAGACTGATAACAAAGGTAAAAGTTCATTGGATTCAAGGAAACTTAGCAAGTTAGATCCAAAATTAGTTTAGTGATGGTAGAAGGCTGTTTGCATGATGGGAGGCTTGTGAGCAGAGGCAGACCACCAGGATCAGTGCTAGGTCCCTTATTGTTCAATATAAACAATATAGAAGAAAATGTGAGAGTGATAATTAATACGAAGATTTGCTGGGTGGTTAACAGTAAGAAAGAAGGTCCAAGGTACAGGAAGATATAGATGAATTGGTCAGATGGGCAGATCAGTGGCAGGTAGAATTTAAACCTGATAAGTGTGAGATGATGCATTTTAGAAGATGGAACGAGACGAGGGAGTACTCAATGAATGGCAGGATACTAGGAAGCTCAGAGGGATCTTGGGGAACTTGTCCACAGATTCCCGAAGGCACGGGACAGGTCAGTAGTGTAGTTAAGAAGGCATATGTGGCATTTGCGTTTATCAGATAGCATAGAATAGAATAGAATATCCTTTATTGTCACGTACTCAAGTACAGAAGTACAAGAAGTACAAGTGGAAAGTTTTACAATGTCGCCGTCTCAAATACAAAGTAACTGGGTACAAAATTTAGATACAAAAGAGGAATAAAATGAAAAGTAGTGGCATTACTTTACAGTGTTTAACAAATCAATTAGGAATGAGACATAGTTAAAGGATTGACATTAGTCAGATAAAAAAGTTTCAAGTAGATATTACATTGCAGTATCTTGGCACAGGGGCTTCCACGCATGGTCTGACCACCTGTGCCAGGCCCCAGTCCAACAATCATCCGTGCTCCGCTCCAAGCTCCCAGTCTGTTCCACACCGGTTCTCAGCTGCTCCAAGCTAAGTTTCTCCCAGGACAGCTTCCCCTGCTGGCTGCTGCTCCAGGACTGCTTCCTACACATTGGCATTGATTATAAGAGCAGGAAGGTTATGTTGGAGCTGTACAAAGCTCTGGTTAGGCCAAAGCCACAGTACTGTGTGCAATTCTGGTCTCTACATTATACGAAGGATATGGCTTCACTGGAGAGTTTGCAGAGGAGATTCACCCAGATATGTCCTGGGTCAGAACAGTTTAAATCTGAAGAGAGGCTGGATAAACTCAGGTTGTTTTGTTTGGAGCAGAGAAAGCTGAGAGGGAACCCAACAGAGGTGTATAAGATTATGAGCGACATGAACATGATGTTTAGAAATGATTAGCTGCTAGATGATTAGCTGTTCTTCTTAGCAGAAGGGATAATGACAAGGGACATAAATCTAAGGTGAAAGGCAGGAGGTTCAAAAAAGGATTTGAGGGAAAAAATCATGCAGCAGGTGGTGGGAATCTGGAATGCACTGCCAGGTGGAAATCTTACAACCTTTAAAGGGTAGTTGAAATGGCCTAGAGATTTTATCACTGGACTATTAATCCACAGACACAAAATGTTCTGCGGACATGCGTTCAAATTTCCAAAATGGCAGATGATGGAATTTGAATTCAATAAAAATCTGGAATTGGGAGGTTAATGATGATCATTGAAACCATGTTGATTGTCAGAAAAAATGCAGCTGATTTACTAATGTTCTGTAGGGAAGAAAACAGCCATCCTTACCTGGAATGGCCTAAATGTGACTCCAGACCCACAGCAATGTGGTTGACTCTCAAATGCCCTTTGGGCAATTAGGGATGGGAAATTAATACTGGCCTAGCCAGTGACACCCACATCCAGTGAATGAATGCAAAAAAGTACAATATAAGAATACAATACAAGTACAAATATGGGATAAATGCTGACCAGTGGAACCATTGTAGATTTTAAATAGTTTTTTTTATTGGTGCAGAGTTAATGAGATGCAGGTCCTCTTGTGTACTGTATGATTCTATGATTGTATGATATGAAGCCTGAAAACTATGAATTTTGATTTCCTTTATGCAACTGATTTTGACCTATCCCCATATTTAAACTGAGAATCTAAGTTATCAATACAGTAACAATCCCACAAAATGTTTAAAGAAACATTCCAAACAAGTTTGGGATTAAGATCTTGATTAATAAGAGCAGACTGAAAAAGGAAAATGATTGCCTTATAAGGTTCTCCTTTGCAGAGCTCCAAGCCTGAACGGGAGTGGTCTGTTCTCTCACTGAAAGTTTACCTGGGCATTAAGAAGAAGCTGAAAGCACCAACAATGCAGTAAGTGCATCACTAATGCTCATTCATAGGATTGTTACAACACGGGGGAGGCTGTTTGTCATCTTGGTTTCACCGGGGAAACTATGGGAGAAAATCACAAATGAAATCTCATTCATCAACTCAGTAACAATCAAAGACACAAACAAATGTGACAAGTTCAGTGCATAAAGATGCCACTCCAGCTGACCCATTCTAAGGTTAACTGTCTCAGCAATGGGTGCTGAAACTGACTTAAGATTCCTGATCGGGAAAGGGGCAGAGATGAGAGTTTAGTCAGAGTTCTGGTTCCTGATCACAACAGTGAACAATCAGGAGGTTACAGAGAAAAATGCAAAAGTATTTACAGGTGAAGCTGCTGAGAATGCATAATGTGCAAGAAAAGGTCTCCTTGAAAATGATGAGCCCCATGAAGAAGGGTCCCGACCCAAAATGTCAACTTTCCTGCTCCTCTGATTGCTGCCTGGCCTGCTGTGTTCCTCCATCTCCACACTCTGTTATCTATTGATTTTTGTGTTTTTTTTAGTACAGAATTAAAATTTTGGACTTTGTGTTTGTTGGAAATACTTCAGGTCCAGTGTAAACTGCTCTAAATCATAGGTTCCACTTGGATAGTACTATTCAAATTATGAATAGAAGTGAGAGGCTTGGGTCACATTTATAGAATCGTAGAATCAGACAGTTCAGAAGGGGCCCTTCAGCCCATTTAATCTGTATAACCAAAATGATACTAGTACCTACAGTAGTCCCACTTGCCTGTACTAGGTCCATAACCTTGAGAGTTATGACACTTCAAGTGCTCATGCAAGTACTTTTTCAAGATTGAGAGTTTTCCCACCTCAACTACCATCCCAGGCAGTACATTCCAGGCCCTCAGCAGCCTCTGGGTGAAAATGTTTTTTCCACAAATCCCCTCTAAACCTTCTCCCTTTCACTTTAAAATTATGTTCCCCTTATTTTTGACCCATCATCTAAGGGAAATGAGCAGGCGAAGTAGCATCAGAGGCGTAGGAAAGCTGACATTTCGGGCCTAGACCCTTCTTCAGAAGAAGGGTCTAGGCCCGAAACATCAGCTTTCCTGCTCCTCTGATGCTGCTTGGCCTGCTGTTTTCATCCAGCTCTACACCTTGTTATCTCAGATTCTCCAGCATCTGCAGTTCCTACTATATCTAAGGGAAATAACTGTTTTCTATTCACCCTGTCCATGTCTATCATAATCTTCTACACCTCAATCAGGTTCCCTCTCAGTTTTCTCTGCTGCAAAGAAAACAATCCAAGCTTATCCAGCTTCTCTTCAAAGTTGAAATGTTCCATCACAGGCAAAATCGTGGTGAATCTCCTCTGCAATCCCTCCAGTACAATCATATAGTTCCGATAGTATAGCAACCACAATTGCACACAGTACTCCAGGTGTGGACTAACCAAAGTTCTGCGCAGCTCCAACATAATCTCCCTCCTCTTATAATCTGTAGGCAGGGTGGCTCATATGCTTTCTTAACTATACTTTTAACCTGTCCTGCCACCTTCAGGGATGTTCGGAAAAACACCTTGGGATCCCTGTCTTACTCTGTGCTTCCTAGTGTCATTGAGTGCTTGCTTGTCTTTAAGAGCACATACTTTATTAAAACAACGGAGGAAAATTTAATGAACAAGAATTCCTGTTATTGAACATGTCACAGCACCCATGCAATTCAGTGTATTGCAAAAGATGCTCGTAACTTTTCAATTGTCATCCCTGTGTTTGACGAATTAACTCTATACACGTGCAACTACTTTGAATGGACATCCACAATGATGAAAAGCATAGATCCCATGAAAGTTGATGGGTAACTGAGTCCAAGGTTTACCTGGCCATTCCACGAATATGGGGGAGCTACTGGTGGTAATTTTTGTCCTTTTTGGCACTCTGAGAACTTCCTCACGAGCACAGCTATGTCAGCATCCAATCCTGGGAACCAGACATAACGTCCCATTAAGATTTTCATTTTGGAAACCCCTGGATGACCTTGATGAAGCTCAAACAGTATCTGGTGGTGACCTTTGCTCAAGACTCTTGTTCCCCATAGTAATATGCCGTCCTCTCTGGTGATCTGGTCTTGCTGAGTCCAGAAAGGTTTTAGTTCTTATTGTGATTCCCTTTTGCTTCCCCCATCATTACCAGCTGTTTTAGTTTTGACAGGATGGGATCTTTTCGTGTCCACAGTCTGATATTGTCAGCAGTGATCAGAAGGGTATCCAGAAAGTTTAAAACCAGAATGGGCTCTTCGAGTGGTGGCACCACCTTTGATGTATCTGCAGTCAGCTCAAGGCACCCACGTTTGCCACTTGGCCTCCTGGATGGAGTTCCAACTTGTAATTGTACGCACTCAGTAAGAGCCCACCACTGAATTCAATCTGAAGCAATGGGCAGCACTACCCTGTCCTCTTTAAGTCACTCTAGGAGGGGTTTGTGGTCTGTCCGTAAAGGCATTGGTGGAACTTCCCCACGACAAAGCTGACTGCCAAATCTTCCTTCTCTACCCAGCATATCTTCACTCAGCATCAGCCAAAGTGTGGGATGCATGTGCTTTTGGGTGTTCATCTCCACTGGGCTACTGGTGAGCCAACACTACCCTGATTGCATACAGGGAGGTATTGCATGTCAGCACCACATCTCACTTGGATTGTAGTGGGCTAAGAACTTAAGACAACGATAGCTGCTTCTTCACTTTCCTAAAGGCCACATCTTGGCTACAAAACCATTTCTGAGGCTGACCCTTTTTCAATAGCAAATGTAAGGGTTACATATGAATTTTCCATAATAATTCACCAACCCAGGGAACGATCTAAACTCCAGTTCAGATGTGGAAGCTGAGGCACCTTTGCTTGCCCTCAAAATATTTCCAAATGGTGTAATCCTGTCTTGTCTGTACCCCAAATAGGTCACTTGAAGTGCCTGGAACACACAACTTCCCTCCAAAGACTTAGTTCTTTAAGTGCTCTTTATTGGTCGTCCCAGCTATTAGCACGTCATCAGATAAACGGTAACCTGGGGGTAGGGCTTGTAAAATGTTCTCCACTGGAAAATGGCACAGGCTGATGATAACCCATAAGGCAGTCATGTATATTGTTACAAACCCTTATGGGTAATAGTTGTAGCAAAGTTCTGGGAATTTTCATCTAATTCCAATTGCAGCTACACATGGTTCATATACTGCTTTGCGAAGGACAGCCCCCAGACCCCACCAGTTTTGTATATAAGTCTTCTATGCAAGGGATTGGGTATTTATCCAGCTGCAAAAAGTGGTTTACCATTTCTATGAAATCCACACAAAGATGAACCAAGCTGCCAGGCTTCACAACTTGTAACACCGGTGCTACCCATTTCTGCAAACTGTCCAGTTTGGTGATTCTTTCACTTTCCAGCCTCCTGATTTCTGTCTTTACTTTTGCGCATAAAGCAAATGGCACTGGGCAGGCCTCGCAGAATCGTGGATTTGCTTCTTGGTCAACATGTAAGGTGGCTTTGGCCCTTTTGACAGCCCCTAGACCTTCCTGAAAAACTTCTCGGCATTTAATTAGATCTTCACTCAGGCAGCCATTTTCTAATTGGAAAATGTTGAGCCAATCAAAGCGAATTCTTTTCATCCAATTTTGCCCTATCAACCTTAGGCCCAAGCTTTTTACTACAATCACTGGTAACTGAACCAGCTGCTTCTCATAAGAGACCAGGATTGACGTAGGTGTTCCCCAGTATAGGTTCTCAGCTTGGCCAAGATCTTACACAAACTTAAAGGTTGGAGTCCAGAGTGAATTTTGGTAAAGACTGGTTACGTAACCAATGATATAGACATATAAGTATTAATCTCCAGTAGAAGTGGGTGACCATTTAACCAGACATTTATATTGATTGGTTCTGATTTGGATGTTGCTAAGTAATTTAACTGCTCCAAACCAGCCGTAGGTGAACTCTCCTGGATACTGGCCTATGTGTTCTCCTACTCAATTCAGGCCCCAGTGGGACTCTTGCTGTCTCGAGGCCGTGTACCTGCAGTAATGACAGTGACCTGCTGGCCCAGATCCCAAAGAAAATGTTAACCATTTGGCCAAGACTTGGCTTTGTTTTGAGGTTTTGCCGAGGGCTGTCCAAGAGTCCCTCTGTTCAGGCAATGTCCTGAGTGAGGCTGTGCAATTACCTTCACTTAAGTGGTGTTCCCCAAGCTCAGTCAGACTGGTCGGGGTGTCCCCTTCCATCACTTGCTGCATTTTCCAATGATAAAGTCAGTTGTAGTGCCCATTTAAAGTCCATGTGGGCTTCAGCTGGTAGGCACTTTTGCATGGTTACATCTTTAATCCCACACACCAAACAAACAGTCTCTCAGCGTCTCATTAAGGGTTAAACCAAAGTCACATGCCTCTGCCAGTCTTCTTAGCCTCATCAAAAATCCCGACATAGATTCCCTGGGTTCTCAAACTGCTGAGTAAAATCAACAGCATCTCAGAATTAGAGGAGGCTTGGGGGTCATAATATTCCTTAACTAAACCCATCAACACTTTTTGTACCTGATACCTCAGGGAAAGTTAAGCTTTCTAATAACCAAGAAAGCTGTGGGTTCTCAAGCTGTCAGAAGAATTATTCATTGCTTTTCATCTGCCTTAATGACATTTGCCCTGAAAAAAATAATGCATTCTTTTTACAAACTGGGCCCAGTCTTCAATGGCAGGATCGAATGAGTCAAGCTTCCCAAATCTTGGCATCATGTCAGAAACGCTTACCCCAACTGAAAGACAACTGTTGTAAGAGAATCTTTTCAGGGGTATATTTTTCTCTTGTATCCACTGAAATAACTCCACGAAGGCTGATATCATGTCATCAAGTCACCCCTTATTTACACATACACAGTACCTGACCCAGTTAGCTCAGAGCGGCTCCTAGAGTGAGAAGAACCTCTGACACTTCTGTTTATATCTGTCAGCCAGGGATCCCTGATTGGACCAGGTTAACAGCCCCAATCAGAGGACTCATATTCTATGAGGTTCACCAGGCTGACCTCATTACAATCACTGCAGAAACTGCCCCAACTATTAGTCCATTCATTGTACTGACTGGGCAATCAGCAAGACCACATGGACTTCAGCATGGACTTCTTGTGTGATTGGACTTATCTGCACTCCACATACAGCACTGTAGGACAGTTTACTCATAAAAATATCACCCTAATGACTAATCTGGAAATGTTAGTACACCTTTTAACTTTGTAGATACATCTAAAGGAAGAGTGTTGCTTGTCAAGATCTGACACTTGTGAATCTCTGCAAAAATATTGTTGTATTTTTATTGAATAGTTTTGGTGCTTTGCACTATTGACTGTCTCAATAATCTACCACTTCCCTTTGCTTTGTAGGTGGGGCTTTACTATATTCTCAGATAAGCAGCAGTGGTAAGTAAACAAGTTTTATTCCTTGTGTACCTGCCGACATCTTGTTATATTGGAGTTCTCAGTCTCATTCTCTTACTGTCATAAGACCATATGAAATTGGAACAGGAGTAGGCTGTTCAGCCCATCAAGCCTGATATACCATTTAATAGAATCATGGTTGATCTGAATTCTTCAAGCATTTTGGATGAAAAAATCCAGAATTACGAATCTATCAATGACCATGAAACCATTGCCAATTGTTGGAAAAACCCAACTAAGTCATTAATGTCCTTCAAGGAAGGAAACCTTCCACCTCACCTGCTCTGGCCTACGAATAACTCCAGAACCACAACAATGTGGCTGACTCTCAACTGCCCTCTGAAAAGTCTGAGCAAGGAATTCAGTTCCAGAGCAACTAAGTTTGGGCAATAAATATTAGCCAGCCAGTGATGCCCATGTCCCATGACTGAATAAAAAAAATTATTGCCCTGTCTCCATAATCCTTGATTCCCTTACTGATAAAGAATCTATCTCAGTCTTAAACATACACAAGGACTCTGCCCACATAGCTCTCTGTGGCAAGGAGTTCCAAAGACTCACAACACATTGACAGAAGAAATTCCTCCTCATCTCATTCTTAAATTGTTGTCGTTTATTCTGAATCTATGCCCTCTAGTCCTAGACTCGCCCATGAGGGGAGCATTTACCCTGTCAAGCATCTTAAGAATCCTACATATTTCAATAAGGTTGCCTTTTGTTCTCCTAGTGATCATCCTAATGCCTCTAATGAAATATCTTTCCTTAAATAATGCTTTCTGCAGTTTTTCTCCATTTAAATAATATTATGTTCTCTCTTCCAAAATGAACAATTTTACATTTTCCTATATTATGCAAGTGTATTATATCTGCTAATTCTTTTGTCAACTTAATTATCAATATCCCTTTGTTAACTGTTTGCATCCCACTTGCAACTTGCCTTTCCACCTATTTTTGTGTCATCTGTAAATTTGGCTACAGTACATTCGCTCCCCTTCTCCAAGTCATTACTATACATTGTAAACAGTTGCGGTCCCAGCACTGATTCCTGTGGAACCAAACAGGTCACAGGTGGTCAAACTGAAAACAAATCCCTTATCCCCACTCACTGTTTCCTGCCCATGAGCCAATTCTCTATCCACACCAATACATTACATCCAACACTATGGGCTTTTACCTTAACCTTTTGTGAGGTACTATGTTGAATGACTTTTGGAAGTCCAAATTCAACACATCTACAGGTTCCCATCTATCCACTCTGTTTGGATCTTTCTCAGAAAACTCCAATAAATTAGTCAGACATGATTTCCTTTACATGAAGCCATGCTGATGCTGCTTGATTAGATTATGATTTTCCAAATGTGCTGCTATTAATCTCCTATTAACTGTTTCCAACATTGTTCTAACAATAGATGTTAGACTAATGTTTACCTGCTTTTTGTCTCCTCTTTTAAAATAGGTTGCCACGTTGGCAGTTTTACAATCCTCTGATACTTCTCCAGAATCCAATGATTTTTGAAAAATTACAACCAAAGCATCCACTATCTCTGTAGCTACTTCTTTTGGAGTACTTAGATACAAGCTATCAGGGCCAAGGGATTTATTTGCCTTTAGCCCCATGAGTTTGTCTATTACTGCTTCTGTAGTGATGATGGTAGTACTTAATTCCTTCCCAATCATCAGTATTAAAGATAAGCTCACCATTGTCTTACCAGACCATAGGGCTGCCCTCCCATTTGAGAGAGGCATCTGGTGGTGGTTTAATCTGAGGGTTACCACACCTCAGGCAAAGGGAGAGGTTGAGAAAGAGAGTCCTTCATGGTAACTGCAAGAATTGAACTGATTCTGTTGGTGTTACTGTGTATCACAAACCCACTGTCCTGTCAACTAATCTCAATAAGCACCTTTTAATATTAATAGCATGTTCAAAGCATTTACCATCATAAAGACTGACGTAAAATATCTGTTCAACTCCTCTACCATTTCCTTGTTTCCAGTAACTATTTTTCAGATTAATTTTTTAAAGGGCCTTTGTTCACTTTGACCTCTTTCTTCCTTTTTGTATATTCAAAGAGGCCCTTATTGTCAGTTTTTATATTCCTCACAACTTAGCCCTCGTAGTTTACTTTTTCTGTCTTTATTATATTTTTCGTCCTTCTTTGCTGGATTTTGAATTTATCCCAATCTTCGGGACTGTCACTGACTTTAGCCTCCTCATATGATTTTTGTTTCAACTTAATATTCCCCTAAACTTCCTTGCTTAGCCATGTTTGGTTTATCCCTCTTTGAGAGCCAAGAACAGAATGGAACTCATCAAGAACGTCAAGGCAGTGATTGTCATTGGAAATAACACCGAGGATCACCTCAGCTGAGATTCAGTCCTCTATGTGCCCACGTGTGACCACAGCATGCTACCCACCAGACTCTCCGCGCAACCCCAGCCCGACATGAGGTGGCCAAGGCTGTGTGACTCTAAGAACCAACAAGGTTCCTGTGCAAAACGTGTATCCACTGAAATGCAGCAGAGAGCCATTTTAGTACGAGTAAATGATCTCATCTTCCTCATAAGGCATGCCAGCCAATCTCTGACATGTCATTAATATAATCATCATCAAGGAAGGAGGTATGACCAACTACAGTAACTACAGAGGGGTCTTCCTGCTAAACACAAAAGTCCTCCTCAATCGCCGAGACGTGGGGGAGGTGGCTAAAGAGCTCCTCCTGGAGTCACAACGTGGATTCCATCCATCAAGAGATGGAGTGAACATGCTTTTACCAGCAAGACAAGTGCAGAGAATGGCAATACTCTCTATACATGGTCTTCTTCAACTCACAAAGGCTTTCAACTCTGTCAATTGAGAGGGGTCTTGGGGTGTCTCCTCGAATTTGGATGGTCGCAAAAGTTAGTCACCATCCTCTACCTGCTGCACAGCAGTGGATCTGCCGTGTTCCATTACATGTGAAAAATGGGCTCAAGTGAAAGTGTGTCATCACGCCAATGCTGTTATCCATCTTCTCGACTGCAACACTGCACCCCGTCATAGAATCATAGAAGCATACAGGACAGTAGAGGCCCTTTGGCCCAGTGCCTCTATAGACAAAAATAATTTCCCACCACTGACATTAGATTAACTAGTCAGTAATTAGCTGGCCTATTATGGTTCAGGATGGCGGCAGAGTAAGACGCACCTCGACTCCGCCCGTTCTATTCCCTTTCTTTCCTCTCCTTTTTCCTCCTTTTCTGCATTTTGTTTTTCAATTTTTGAGTTGGACTTAAAAGGAAGAACTGGTGAGCCCCAGAGGTGAATCTCAGAGGAGAGGCAGGCACAGGGAAGCAGACCTGTAGCAGAAGCTGGCATAGGTAATCGAGTCCCAGAGCGGAGGCTGGCACGAGGAATCATGTCCCAGAGCGGAGGCCGGTGATGGGAAGCGTGTCCCAGAGCGAAGGCCGGTGATGGGAAGCGTGTCCCAGGGCGGAGGCCGGTGATGGGAAGCGTGTCCCAGGGCGGAGGCCGGTGATGGGAAGCGTGTCCCAGAGCAGAGGCCGGCGCGGGGAAGTGTGTCCTGGAGAATGCTTATCTTAGAGCAGCTGAGAATTGGCGCAGATTGGACTGGAGGTTGGAGTGGAGTGGGGACCGTTGTTGGACTGGAGTCTGGTGCAGGCGGTCAGACCACGTGTGGAAGCTTCTGAACTGAGCTGCCACAATGTAATGTTTATTTGTAATTTGTTTCTTTGACTGCAATGTCTATCCTCTTAACTATGTCATACTTCTAACTTATACTATGAATCACTATAAACTACTACAACTACATTCCTTTCTTATTCCTCTTTTGTACCTAAAATTTGTACCTCAATACTTTGTACCTAGAATGGCACCGTAACAGGCGAGATTATAAACTATTCACTGCACTCCCATACTTCTGTACTTGAGTATATGTGCCAATAAAGGATATCCTATTCTATTCTGTTCTGTGCTTGCTGGCCTCCTTGAACAAAGGTATCACCTTAGCTATCCTCCCGTTCTCTGCACCCCTCCAATGCAATCACAAATCCCATCACCCATCTTCCCACTGGAATGAGCTTCTCCACAGAATGAGCTGGGAACTATTAACCCCATTTTCATACAGATCCAAACCACCCTGGTGTTGAGCTGCAGTATACAGATGATGTTTGCGTATAGAAACTTAGAAGATAGAAGCAGGTGCAGGCCATTCAGCCCCTCAGTATGAGCATGACTGATCATCGAGCTCAATAAACCCACCCTTCCATATCCCTTGATGCCTTTAGCCACAAGAGCAAAATAAACCTCCTTCTTGAAAGCACATAATGTTTTGCTCTCAGCCACTTTTTGTGGTAGTGAATTCCACAGCCTCACCACTCTCTGAGCAAAGAATTTTTTCCTCCTCTAAGTCCTAAAAGGTTTACCTTCACCTTAAACTATGACCCTTGGTTCTGGACTCCCCTACCATTGGGAACATCCTTCCTGCACCTGGTCTGTCTAGTTCTGTTAGAATTTTATAGGTTTCTATGAGATCCTCCCTTTAGTCTTCTTAAATGCAGTGAATACAATCCTAACTGACTCATTCACTCCTCATATGTCAGTCCTGTCATCCAGGAATCAATTTTGTACACCTTTGCTGCACTCCCTCTGTAACATGAATGTCCTTCCTCAGATAACGTTTTTGTTTTAATTTTCTGATTAAAACTAAGAAAACATATTTCATATGTTTTACACTACACTATAATTATCACAATGTTTAACTTTTAACCTTTGTTTCCATTCTGTTCTAAAGATTCTGTACATGTATTTAAAATGGTGCCTTGTGTGGTGACATTATGCACTTTTCACTGTGTACTCCTGTACCTTTGTACTTGAGGATTCTCAAGCTCACCAGTTTCTTTCCTCCAACAATTGTGAAGTTTCACATACCAATGATTTCTTCATCACTCAAACTACTTGTCACTGATGATTTGTAGCTGTTCTGTTACAGGTTCTTGTGCTGTTCAGGGCAATCGGAGATGTGGGATTGGACAGCCAGTATCCTAAGATCTCAGGTAACAAATTACAAGAAATACTATGCCTTTAATATAGCAAGACATGTTAAGTGTCAATAAATCACATTGCTAATGAAATCTTTGCATTCTCTAGCATAAACTCTGAGAGTATTCTAAGGCAGAAAAGCAGATTCTGATAAGCATTGATTTGAAAAATTGGTCCCATCATTTTCCTGTTTATTTGGTCCATTTTCTCATTATTTCATTGGATGTGGGCACCACTGGTTAGGCCAACATTTATTATCCCTATTTGCCGTTGAGAAAGGGTGGTCAGCTGTCTTCTTCTACCTCTGGCTTTGAGTAGACTCTGAGTGCCTTTAGGGAGGGAATTCCAGGATTTTGATCCTGTAACAATGAAGGAACAATGGTTTATTTTCAAGTCACTGGAGAGTGGCTTGGAGGGGGTCTTGCAGGTGGTGATGTTCCCTGTAGCTGCTGTCTTTGTGCTTTGAGATGGTGGAGATTGTGAGTTTGGAAAGTACTGTCTAAGGAGCCTTAGTGAATTTCTGCAGAGTATCTTGTTGATGGTATATGCAGCCGCTAGTGAGCATCAATGGTGTGGAGAGTAGATGCTTTTAGATGTGGATTTAATCAAGCAGACTGCTTTGTCCCGAATAGTGTCGAGCTTCCAGAGTGTTTTTGGAGCTGGGGATTGGTTATTTTAACTCCCCTTCCCACTCCCTGGGTGACATGTCCATCCTGCATTCCTTTAGGGCCACAGTTGAATTGCTCCCTTTGGACTTGCTAAAAGCCCTTCTGTTCTTCATTATCCAGTCCTAAATCTTAGATATCCAGGGTTCTTTGAATTTATTGATCCTACATTTCCCTCTGAAGGTTACATGTTGGGGCTAAAGACTCTCCAGCTCCTTTTTGAATGCTCCCCATTGCTCCACTGTAGGCTGACACACAAGGATCTGTTCCCAGTCTATTGTGTCCAGACCCTGCTGTATTCTAATAAAATCTGTCTTCTCCCAATCCAAAGCCATAGAACATAGAACATAGAACATAGAACACAGAACATAGAACATAGAACAGTACAGCACAGTACAGGCCCTTCGGCCCACGATGTTGTGCTGAACTTTTACCCTAATCCTAAGGTCTATCTAACCTCCACCCCTTCCTTATATTATCATCCATATGCCTATCTAATAGCCGCTTAAATGCCCCTAATTAGTCCGACACCACTACCTGCTCCGGCAATGCATTCCACGCCCCTACCACTCTCTGAGTAAAGAACCTACCTCTGACGTCTCCCCTATATCTACCTCCACTCACTTTAAAACTATGCCCCCTCATAATAGCTATCTCCAACCTAGGAAAAGGTCTCTGGCTGTCTACTCTATCTATACCTCTGATCATCTTGTACACCTCTATCAAGTCACCTCTCATCCTTCGTCATTCTAAAAAGCCCTAGCTCTCTCAACCTTTCCTCGTAAGACCTTCCCTTCATTCCAGGCAACATTCTGGTAACTCTCCTCTGCACCTTTTCCAATGCCTCCACAACTTTCCTGTAATGAGGCAACCAGAACTGGACACAATACTCCAGATGTGGCCAAACCAGGCTTTTGTATAGCTGGAGCATAACTTCACGGCTCTTGAACTCAATCCCTCTATTAATGAAAGCTAACAACCATACACCTTCTTAACAACTCTATCCACCTGGGTGGCAGCTTTCAGGGAACTGTGGACATGAACCCCAAGGTCACTCTGCTCCTCCACACTGCCAAGAATCTTTCCGTTAACCCTGTATTCTGCTTTCAAGTTTTTCCTTCCAAAATGAATCACCTCACACTTTTCAGGGTTAAACTCCATCTGCCACTTCTCAGCCCAGCTCTGCATCCTATCAATGTCCCTTTGTAACCTAGAACAGCCCTCCGCATTGTCCACAACATGACTCACCTTCGTATCGTCCGCGAACTTACTAATCCACTCTTCCACTTCTTCATCCAAATCATTTACAAAAATCACAAATAGAAGAGGACCCAGAACAGATCCTTGTGGTACACCACTCGTAACAGAGCACCATGTTAACCCCACTGCGAAGCCAATTTCTCCAGCATCGGCAGTTCCTACTATCTCTGTAACCATGTTAAATATTTTCTGTCCACTACCACCCTTTGTCTTCTAAGGGTCAGCCAATTATGAATCCAATCTACCACATTTCCCCCTATCTCATGCCTCCTTACCTTCTGCATGAGCCTACCATGGGGAACCTTATTAAACGCCTTACTTAAATCCATGTATACCACATCCACTGCTCTACCTTCATCCACCTGTTTGGTCACCTCTTCAAAGAATTCAATAATGTTTGTGAGGCATGACCTACCCCTCACAAATTCATGCTGACTATCAAGAATCAAACTGTACCTTTCTAAGTGATCATAAATCCTATCTCTCAGAGCCCTTTCCAATAATTTGCCCACCACTGATGTAAGGCTAACTGGCCTGTAATTTCCGGGGTTATCCTTATTCCCTTTTTTGAACAAGGGAATGACGTTTGCCTCTCTCCAATCTTCTGGCACTATACCCGTGGACGGTGAGGATGAAAAGATCATCGCAAAAGGCCCTGCGATCCCTTCCCTCGTTTCCCATAGAATCCTTGGATAAATCCCAACAGGCCCGGGGGACTTATCTATCTTCCACTTCCTCAAAATTCCTAGCACATCTTCCTTACTAACATCGACCTCCTCTAGCCTACCACCTGTTTTACACTGTCCTCCTCAACAACTAGGTCCCTCTCAGTTGTGAATACCGAAGAAAAGTATTCATTAAGGACCTCTCCTATCTTTTTAGGCTCCATACACAAATTCCCTTTATAATCCTTGACTGGCCCTACCCTTTCTCTAGTCATTCTCTTATTCCTCATGTTTGTGTAAAAAGCCTTGGAATTTTCCTTGATCTTATCTGCCAAGGTTTTCTCATTACCCCTTATAGCTCTCCTATGCCGTTTCTTCAGCTCCCTTCTGGATAACTTGTATCCCTCGAGAGCCTTTTCTGTTCCTTGTTTCCTAAACCTTACATAAGCATCCTTCTTCCTTTTAACCAGCCGTTGAGAACCAAGGCTCCCTCACTTGACCGCATCTTCCCTTAGGGACAAACATATAGAGCACACGCAGTATGCATTCCTTAAACAATCTCCACATTTCAATAGTGCTCTTCCTTGACAGCATCTGTTCCCATTTTATGTGACCCAGTTCTTGCCTAACAGAATTTGTAATTACCCTTCCCCCAATTATAAACCTTACCCTGTTGTATGTACCTATCCTTTTCCATGACTATAGTAAAAGTAACAGAGTTATGATCGCTACAGCCAAAATGCTCTCCTACCAACAGGTCTAGCACTTGGCCCGGTTCATTACCAAGCACTAAATCCAAAGTGGCCTCTCCTCGTGTTGGTCTATGTACATACTGTGTCAGGAATCCTTCCTGGACGCACTGGACAAAATCCGCTCCATCTAAACTATCACAACTAAAATGTTTCCAATCAATATTTGGAAAGTTGAAGTCACCCATGACTACAACCCTGTGACTTCTGCACCTTTCCAGTATCTGCCTGCTAATCCGCTCTTCTACTTCTCTGCAACTATTAGGGGGTCTGTAAAAAACCCCCAACAAAGTGACTCCTCCTTTCTTGTTCTGGACCTCAACCCAAACTGACTCTGTAGACATATCATTCTCGAACTGCTTTTCAGTAGCTGCTATACTCACCCAGACTAGCAATGCCACTCCCCCGCCTCTTTTTCCACCCTCCCTATTTCTTTTAAAGCATCTAAATCCCGGAACTTCCAACGACCATTCCTGTCCCTGAGTTACCCAAGTTTCTGTAATGGCAACAACATCGTAGTTCCAATAACCGACCTATGCTGTAAGACCCATGCTCCGCCTTATTTCCAATACTTCTAGCATTGAAGTATACACACCTCAAACCATCTCTGTGTCCACAATTACGCTCCACTGACCGCATTTCTTTATTAACAACCTCATTCCCTTTTTCTGATGAAGGGTCTAGGCCCAAAACGTCAGCCTTTCTGTTCCTATGATGCTGCTTGGCCTGCTGTGTTCATCCAGCTCTGCACCTTGTTGTCTCGGATTCTCCAGCATCTGCAGTTCCTACTATCTCTCACTCACTGTTGTGTCTGTTGGAAGGCTGAATACCTCATCCTCTTTATTACAAATCCGGTTCCCCACCCCCTGCCAATCTAGTTTAAACCATCCTGTACAGCTCGAGCAAACCTCCCTCCCAGTATATTTGTGCCCTTCCGGTTCAGGTGCAACCCATCCTTACTGTACAGGTCCCACCTTCCCCAGAATGTGCTTCAGTTATCCACATGATGGAAGCCCTCCCTCCTGCACCAGCCCTGTAGCCACGTGTTTAGCTGCACTCTCTCCCTATTTCTTACCTCATTATCACGTGGCACTGGTAGTAATCCAGAGATAACTACCCTGCTTGCCCTGCACTTCAGCTTCCAACCTAACTCCCTGTACTCGTTTTTCACATTCTCTGTCCTTTTTCTACCTATGTCATTGGTACCAATGTGTACCATGACTGCTGGTTGCTCACCCTCCCCCTTAAGGATCTTGAAGACACGATCCGAGACATCATGGACCCTGGCACCCGGGAGGCAACATACCATCTGTTTATCTCGTTCGCGTCCACAGAACCGCCTGTCTGTGCCTCTTACTATTGAATCTCCCACTACAATTGCTCTCCTATTCTCCCCCCTTCCCTTCTGTGTCACAGGGTCAGGCTCAGTGCCAGAGACCTGTCCGCTATGGCCTTCCCCTGGTAGGTTGTCCCCCACAACAGTATCCAAAACAGTATACTTATTATTGAGCTGAACGGCCACAGGGGATCCCTGCACTGTCTGCCTATTCCCTTTCACCCTCCTGACAGTCACCCAGCTACCTTTTTCCTGTACCTTGGGTGTGACCACCTCCTTATAACTCCTCTCTATCACCCCCTCAGCCTCCGAATGATCCGGAGTTCATCCAGCTCCAGCTCCAGTTCCCTCACGCGGTTTGTGAGGAGCTGGAGGTAGGTGCACTTCTCGCAGGTGAAGTCGGAAGGGACACCAGCAGTGACCCTTACCTCCCACATCCTGTAACAGGAGCATGCAACTGCCCTAGTTTCCATTCCCTCTACTCGAGATTTCCAGAAGAATAAAAAAATGCCTTACCTTACCGACCCTCCACACAGTCTTTTTTTTTGGTTAGAGGAGGAGGATGGGTGGGAGACACTACACGTGCAGTGTTTCAGGTTGAGCCGATGCCTGAATATATCAGTTCCTTCCTGGCTTGCATTGTCTTCACACACCCGCCGCTGAAAACAAGAAGGCCTGCTGCACGAGGTAAGTTTTTATACAGGGAAAAAAAGCAACCTTACCTTCCCGTCGGCACTCTGGTTCGCGCTGCTGCCGCTGAAAACCATCTTTTGCAGGTCATCTTTTTCCTTGACCAGATATATTTGAACTGTACCATGTTGTGGTCGCTACCACCTAAATGTTCCTCCACTGCCACATTGAACACTTGTCCAGTTTCTTTCCCAAGAACCATATCCAGCACTGCACTGTTAAAATCCCTGAGTATAATTACCCGATTATAACTCTTACACACTTCTATGAACTGTCTACATATCTGCTCCTCTATTTACCACTCTTTGGGGGCCTATAATACACTCACAATGAAGTAGCTTCCCCCTTAATGTTTGTAAGTACTACCCACAAAGCTTTATTTGATGAGCCTTCCAAGATATCTCTCCATATTGCAGTAATTGATTTGATTTATTTACTGTCACGTGTACCTAAGTACAGTGAAAAGCCTTGTTTACAAGCAGTACAGGCAGATCATAGTAAGCAAGGAACATCCAGTGCATAGGGTGAAACAAAACTTGGACAGAAGTAGATTTAAGAGAACATTATTAGTAATTTTTACAGATTCAGAATTTAAGTTTAAAAGTGCAGAACGGTTATAGAAAATGTTAGAGTTAGATCTGCTGCAGGAAGCTCGCAAGGAGTCAAATGGTGCCATTTTCTGTAATTAACAGTGCAACCTTGCCTAAAGATCCTATACCTCAGCATGTTGAATTGCTAGTCTAGCCCTTCCCTCTACTATGTTTCTGTATTGACAGCAATATTATACTTCTATGTGTCAATCTACACCATTAACTTATCAGTCTTACCTATTACACTCCTAGCGTTAAAGACCATCCAGCCTTGCCTTACCCTCTTGACACTCAACACAGCTGAACTCGCTGTGACTTGCTTTCTTTGTTGTAGCATGAGCTGTCTCTATTTAATCAATATTGTGCATCACCTCCTCCTGCTGGATTAGTTTAAACTCCTCAACAGCATGAGCAAACCCACCTGCAAGGATTTTGGTCCCAGCGTGGATCAGGTGCAGAAAATCCTGTTTGCACATGTCTCGCCTTCCCCAAAAACAGTCCCAGTGATCCAGGAATCTAAAGTCCTCCCCTCTTGCACTAACTCTTGAGCCACATATTCTCCTGTCCTATGTTTCTATTTCTACACTCATTAGCATGGGAGCGATCCAGAGAACACAACTTTTGAGGTCCTGCTTTTTAATCTACTGCCTCGGTCCTGAATTTTTGATGCAAGACCTCATTATTAACTTTTTCATATTATAGACATCAAATATACCACGATCTCTTGTCAATGATAATTCTCAAAGAATTGTATCTCCTTATGTAAGAGTTTTCTCCTAGTCAGTTTCTTCTAAGTGAGGGTCTCCCATATATTGACATCAAAATTGTGTTTCATGAGGGAAGCCTTCAGAGACTCTTTGAAATTCTTCCTTTGCCCACCTCTCATTCGAGTGCCTTCCTAGTTCTAGGCAAAGACAATTTGCTTCAGCAGTTGGAACTCAGACACTTTCAGCATGTGGCCTATCGAGCAGAATCAGACACGATGGAGCATATTCTCAAGGTGAACGTAGGATTTGTCTCCACAGGCATATAGGCTGGTTACTTTTGCTGACATTTTCCTGGGCAGATGCATCTGTGATAGGTCCACTGATAAGAATGAAGTCAAGTGTATTTTAGCCTTGTGTTGATTCCATCGCCGCTTACTGTAGACCCTGTCTCAAAGCAATGTCCATTAGGACCTCATCTGTTCAATCAGTAGTGTTGCTGCCAAGCCACTCTTGGTGATAGACATTGAAATCTCCCACCCAGAGTGCATTCTGTGCTCTTGCCACCTTCAGTTTTTCCCACAAGTGTTATTCACATGGATGAGTACTGATTCATCAGCCAATGGAGGACAGGACTTGGGTAATCAGCAGGAGGTTTTCTCGCTCATGCTTGATCTGATGCTGTTCGGAGTCGATGTTAAGGGCTGCCAGGGTAATTCCCTCCACACTGTACAATGCTCTGCTGGCATACTTGTTCTGGGTATATCCTGCCTGGACAGAACGTATCCAGAGATGGTGGTAGTGGTATCTCTGATATCATGTGGTATGATTCCTTGAGTATGATCATCTCAGACTGTTGCTTGACTAGTCTGTGCGAAAGTTCGTCTAATTTTGCCATGAGCCCCAAGTGTTGGTAAAGAGGATTTTGTACGGTTTACTATATTGTTGTTATCGTTTCTGGTAAATTGATGTCATGTGGTCCGTCCAGTATCTTCCCCAGCTTTAGACTTTGTCATAATTTTTGAGACAACTCATTGATGTAGCCATTGCAGAAGACAGTTAAGCATCAACCACATTGCTGTGAGTCTGGGGTTTCATGGAGGTCAGACCAAGTAACGGTGTCAGATTTTTTCCTAAAGGTTACTTGTGTATTTAATGACAGTAGTTCCATTGCCGCCATTAGACTACTTTTCATTTCCAGATAATATTGTATTAAAATTTCACCATCTGCTATAGCGGGCCTTAAGTTCATTTTCCCACAACTTCATGGGGCTCTGGTTTACTTGTTCAGTGACCTCACTTCTGTGGCATTACTTCCCTGAGTTGACAGATTAACATCTGAGATCTGCTGCTAAAATTTGGGATCAGTGCAATAAATTATCAACATTTTCTCAAGAATAAAGAAGATTAGATGAGATTCATTTCATGGTTAGATGCAGATGGAGTGAACTCAATGGGATGATTTTATTTTAAAATTTTGCACTTTCTTGTCTTTGCATTCTTAATTGAATCATTTATTGTAACAC